AAGAAAGAAAGAAAGAAAAGAAAAATATAAGATATAAAATTTTGATTTTTTGTCATAAGTTCCTCAATGTCCAAAATTCCACTATAAGACAAATATCATTACAATAAAATAATTGGTTCCAATGCTATAATATTTAATATGAAGCAATTAATTTTTCAGTATTTTGTAAAAAAGTGCAGTCAAGTTACTGGTAGGTGATCCACAAGATGTCTTTAAGTGCAAAGGGAATGAATATGAATGGACAACCGAGATATCTGAGGAAAGCCCTGCCATAACAGAAACCAAAATATTCAGGAAAAAAAAAAAGAAACAAGACTAGCAGAGAAAGCAGAAGAAAAATTCCAAACAAACACATAATATCCTCACAGAGACAAGAGAGATAATAAAATCTCAAAACACAAGGTTCTAAGAAAGGAATACTCAAAACACTAAAACTGTTTTCTTGGAAATTAAGTTTGCCAAAAATGGAGTCAGGCACGGTGGCTCACACCTGTAATCCCAGAACTTTGGGAGGCCAAGGCAGGAGCGCCACTTGAGCACAGGAGTTCAAGATCAGCCTGGGCAACATAGTGAGACCTTGTCTCTATAACAAATAAGCTGGGCATGGTGGCGCACACCTGTAGTCCCAACTACTCGGGAGACTGAGGTAGAAGGATGAGCCCAGGAAGTTAAGGCTGCAGTGAGCCATCATCATGCCACTGCACTCCAGCCCAGGCAGCAGAGTGAGACTCTGACTTAAAAAAAAAACCAACTTTCATATAGAAAGCAGAAATAAGAAGAAATAGAAATTTTAAAAAGGAGCCGTAAGTAAAAAGTTATGGAAACACAAGAAAACAAAATGGGGAAAAAACCCCAACGGATATATATATCTCAACATATTTGAGTCGGGGTCTCACTGTCACCCAGGCTGGAATGCAATGGCACAAAATCATGGTTCACTGCAGCTCCAAACTCCTGGGCTCAAAATATCCCACCTCAGCCTCTGAGTAGCCAGGACTACAGGCATATGCCACCACACCCTGCTAATGTTTTTGTAAAGAGAGGGTCTTGCTCTGCCACCCAGGCTGGAGTGCAGTGATGCAAGCATAGTTCACTGCAAATTTGACCTCCTGGACTCAAGCAATCCTCCTACCTTGGCCTCCCAAAGCACCGGAATTACAAGTATGAGCTACTGCGCTTGGCCAAATCTCCCATTCTTTTATTTTATTTCTTTGAGTTGGAGTCTCTCACTCTGCCGCCCAGGCTGGAGTGCAGTGGCATGCTCACGGCCACCACAGCCTCGACCTGCTGGGCTCAGGTGACCTGCCTCAGCCTTCCATGTAGCTGGAACTACAGGCATGCGCCATCACGTCCGGCTAATTGTTTTTTATTGATCGTAGAGACGAGGTCTCACCAAGTTACCTAAGCTGGTCTCGAACCCGTGGGCTCTGGCAATCCTCACATCTCGGCCTCCCAAAGTGCTGGGATTATAGGCGTGAGCCACTGCACCCTGCCCAAATCTCCCACTCTTAATCTAAAAGGACAACCAAAGATCACCAGACATATAAAGACCATCCTCTAACATAGAAAAAAGAGATTAAAAAAAAAACTAAGACACAGTTAAGGTGTGTACCTTAACTGAGGCCTGCACAGGGTCAGATTTTAAAAAAAAGAAAAGAAAAAAGAGATCAAAACAAACAGAAAGCAATTTAAACAAACAGAAAACTGAAACCAACCAACAAACAAAAAAACTACCACTAGTTTCCTAAAAGTGATGACAAAAGATGAAACAAGAACAGAAATGTTATTTTAAAAATTTCTTAGCGTTCTTAGATAATAAAAACATAACAGCAAAAAGTAAAACTAAAACTGCTAGGTTGGAAGATATAGACATCCACAAAATAAAGCAATATATTGGATAGATAATAAATGAGAAAGGCAATAGGAGGACCAGTTCTGAAAATCCAACATCCAAATAACAGAAGCTAGAGAAAGAGCAAGGAAAAACAAGAAGAAAACATCAGCAAATGCAGTAATTCACAAAAATTTTCTACAACTAAAGTACATGGGTTTCTATTCTAGGTTGAAAAGGAATATCTGATGTTCGGCAAAATGAGTAACAACATTGTGAAACTACAAACCCCTGGGATCAAGAAATTCACAAGATTCCTGAAAGAAAAAAAATACAATCATATACCAAGGTTCAGGAATCAGAATAGCTTCAGACATCTCAACAAAACCAGAGGAAAAAATGCAAAGAAGCTATGTCTTCAATGTCCCAAAGAAAAACTACTTCCAACCTGGGATTCCAAAACCAGCCAAATTTATAATCAAGGCTGAAGGTAAAATCCAGGCAATTTCAAACACACACATCTTCCCCTCAAAAAAGTGTCTACCATGTACCATTTTCACAAGAAGCTACTAGAAAAAAGTATTCCACCAAAATGTGGGGGTAATTCAAGGAAGAAGAACATGAGAAGACACAGAATACAGCAGACAAAAGAGTCAAAACAGGAGAAATGTGAAGGGAGATTCCAGAAAGATAGCTGCCAGCTGGCCAACAGGCAAGAAGTCCAGATCAGAGTAGAAAACAAGGTTTGAGGAGGTACAACTCTGAGGGGAAAAAGGAGACAGACTGCTTATTTTGACAGTGTTGAGAAGAATTTTACGGCAGTTTGGGGATGAAACAAAGGTACAGGAAAAACCAAAAGAAAAAAACAAAGTAATGATGAACTTGAAGAAAAAAGTTTTACAAGAAAGAAAACGTGACCAGAGTATACTAGGTAACTCAGTTGTGAACATAGTGGTAATAAACAGATTTAACCCCAAATGATGTTAAAGCAACACAGGAAGGCTGCAGAAAGGAGAAGTCAATGTGTACATGGGTACAGATGCTACTGAAGGAGGAAGAGAACTAAATTTTCATCTACTCCAGCAGGAGGTCCTCAGATGTCTAAAACTGAAAAATCAATCAACAGTACAAGATTACTTAGAAACATGGAGGCATTAAGCCTGTAATCCCAGCACTTTGGGAGCCTGAGGTAAGGGAATTGCCTGAGCCCATGCATTTGAGAACAGCCTGGGCAACTTGGTAAGACCTCACCTCTACAAAAAAATTTTTTAAAAAACTATCCGGGTATGGTAGTGCACACCTGTAGTTCCAACTACTTGGAAGGCTGAGGCCAAAGGATCGCCTGAGCACAGCAGGTCAACAATGGGATGGCTGTGAGCATGCATGTCACTGCACTCCAGCGTGGGCGATGGAGTAAGACTCCAACTCCAAAAAACAAAAAAAAAGGAAACATGGAGGTAAGTACTAAAAGAGAGCTAAAAGACAAGAGGGATTGCCTTGAGTTGTAAAGGATGGAGAGATGGGTAGAATGGAGAAATGGTCTTTCCCAACTAGAAGTTATGTTAAAAAATCTTGCCCAGGCTGGTCTCCAACCCATGGGCTCAGGCAATCCACTCACCTCAGCCTCCCAAAGGCGCAGGATTACAGGCTGAGCCACCGAGCCCGGCTCAGCACATACATTTTAATCAATTGTTTTTTAACAGGATGTCAAGTCTTTTCCACAAATAATGCTGGAAAAACTGCTACGGATCTGCAGGTTGAGCATTCAGTAAAACATACAAAACACCTGTCTGCCAGGCATGGTGGCTTACACCTGTAATCCCAGCACTTTGAGAGGCTGAGGCAAGAGGACTGCCTGAGTCCATGGGTTCGAGACCAGCCTGGGCAACTTGGTGAGACCTCATCTCTACAATAAATCAAAAAATTAGCTGGGGGTCATGGTATGCTTGTGGTTCCAGCTACTTGGAAGGCTGTGGCAAAAGGCTCACCTGAGCCTAGCAGGTCAAGGCTGTGGTGGCCCTGAGCGTGCCGCTGCACTCCAGCTTGGGCAACAGAGTGAGACTCTGATTCAAAAAAAAAAAGAAAAAGAGGAGGAAATGTACTTTCCTCTTCTCTTTTCCCCTTATTGGTCAGAATGTCAACGTAACAAACTCTGAGGCCCATGAGTAGTCATCTCACACCAAAAGACGGGCAGACACTATGTTGAGGGGCAGCAGAGCGTTAAGACAAAAGGCATCAGATCCCTTGACATGATGAAGTCATCCATCTTAAGTCAAACTTCTATTTTTGTTTAAGCGAATTAATAAGGCCTTTCATAAAGCAACCAAGCCCATATATATCCTAACATATGAATCCTTTTTAAAAAAAAAAAACAACTCAATTTAGGCTTATTAATAACTCTGAGCCAGGCCCACTGGCTCACACCTGTAATCCCAGCACTTTGGGAGGCTGAAGCAGGAGGACTGCTTAAGCCCAGGAATTTAAGACCAATCCAGGCAACATAGTGAGACCTCGTCCCTATAAAAATTCGAAAAATTAGCTGCATATAGTGGTGAATGCCTATAGACCCAGCTACTCAGAAGGCTAAGGCAGGAGGACTGACTGAGACCAGGAGGCGGAAGATGCAATAAGCTGTGATCGTGCCACTACAATCCAGCCTGGGTGACAGAGACCCTGACTCAAACAAACAAAAAAACTCTGAGCTGGGCTCAGTGGCTCAGCCTGTAATCCCGTGCCTTTGGGAGGCTGAGGTGAGTGGACTGCCTGAGCCCACGGGTTTTGAGACCTACCTGGGCAGCAAGACCTCATC